ACATGTGAGTGACGAAGAATCAATCTCGTGGATGATTCGAAGCATTTGAAATTGTCGGTGTCGCTTGTTTCTTATACCGGTTCGCAGGTGATTTCGGCCCGGGCTCAAGCATTTAATTGAACTGCTTTGTTCTGCGGTTTTTGCTAATGGCCAAATTCTGTGATCGTTACAAGAATGTTCAACGCGCCGCAACGTCGGACATTCTTATCTCGGCGGATCTCTAATTAAAAGATTTCTCATTGCCGCCTTCTTCGCCTCGGAGACAAGCAGATAACCGTGTCGGTACGGATACTGATGTCGAGACTAGTTAATCGTCGCCGATGCCGGTTAATTGGTGAATAGTGATGCGGATGCGAGCATCCTAAGGCATGATTCAAAACGAGGGGTTCAATTATTTTAATTCATCCATTGGAAATCAATCGCGTCGTTTCGTATTTTTATTATATTGCGGTTTCAACCCTCAACCTCCTGGCTTCGAGTCTACCATTTTGGTACTCGGTTTATTTTTATTTTCATATGTCCTGTGGGTCAAGTATGTTAGTATGCGATTAATAAAAATTGCCAATGCTTTGGACATAATTCTGATCATTTACAAAGTTAATATGATAATACAATATTAGAATTTTACTTCAATGAAAGTGGACCTGATAATTCAATTGCATCGTTAATGTCCACCGTGAAAAATTATTGTCATTGAATTTGGTTTCGCGGAGAACATTCAAGGTCTCCCAGGGTCGAGATAAATTAATTGAAACCGTGTAGTAAATTTCGTTTTATTTTATTACGATATCACACGGCCGTCTCGTTTACAACTGAGACGGTCACGCGTTTTGCTCCAGCCGACCATTTAGCGTATTAATTACGACCTGAACGGCCAGTTATTATCTAAATTATAATTCGCTCATATCCCATTGATACGATTTTAATTTAATATATCGTCTGGTATAATTATTTTTACGACTGCAGTCAGAAACACGCTTCTTCTGTTTCGGAGGTGTCCTAATTTTTTTATTACCCTTTTAAATGGAGGTTCATTTATAATTTGATCGGATTTCGGTGTATAGCACGGTGGAAGGATGCCTCGAACGAGGGCTGAGATCTTGTTGGATATGTATGGGCATGCCGAAGGAGGAATTTCTCGAGCATATCAGATGTAAGTCGACTGACTAACAATTTTAGTTTACCTGATGTTGCTTAAAAACAATTTCTGTACATTACACGTAGTGTTTATATTCCAATTTCTTCCTATTATAAATGCATAAAATGAGAAATGTATTTTTAGTAAAACGAATAATTATTTGCTGCTTTGCTAACATCACGCTGTTAGACTATCTCGAGTAGTTTTTACATTGTGTAGATGCAAATGAGCGACGGGCGAGCGTGCCGTGGCGAAATTAGACCCTTGGCAAGTTTCATCGTTGCAACAGGTGCTCCTTATGGTATACAGGGACGATAATTTTCTGTGCGTTCCGCGACCGCGCGTACCCCGTGGTAATTATTACCCGAAAGACAAGCGAGTATGCTTTATGATCCAGTCTTTCCAGCAACTGCCCCTGATTACGGGTACGGTCGCATCGCTCGATCGTTTGCGGTCTTGATTCAAGACTTTCTTGCGTTGATCGCCGGCAAAACCGTCGCCTTTCCGCTACTCCTTTTCAACGCTGATTGAATGTTTATCCGGTCGTCATTCCTCACAATTAAACCTTCTTGTCATTCTCTAAATAATTTTTCTTTATAAAATTTTTTATATATTTTTGAACAATAGTTGTTGTCTAATATTTTTTATCTGTTAGAGACAATGTTTCTTCATTCCTCAAAGCTCGTGTAAATATACTTTATTCTTATCAAACTTTTTCTCACATTATTCTCAACGAAAGTGAATATACTGTAATTACAGTCTTTGTAAATTGAAAAGAAGCTTTACGAGCTCGTATTTCTTATTAATTATGAATCAAAATGTTACAATCAGATATAAGAAAATCCCCTACTATTTGCGGACAAGGGCAAAAGATGATGTATTAAGAAAAATGAGTAATCGCTTTTTGATTGGATTTTCACAAAATGCTGCGTTCGTAAACTGGTATCATATATTATAAACCTCTTTTTGTTCCCCAGTTATTAAGCTACATAGTGGGACACGGTGATTGCCTCGATGAAAGACTTTTCCTTTTTTTATTGATCGCGATGACGAGGAATGGACGCGTGATAATTAAATTGCTACGAGGTAGGAGAATATCTCCAGACTTGAGTCATGTGATTTGTGATTAAAGAGATGAAAGACATTTAAGACTAGTAAATTTATGATTCTTCTTATACCGTTTTCACTTCGTTCTATTACAGAATCGATCGACTTGTGTAATTGCAGTGTGCCAATTGATCTTAATCGGACGAATTAAATAAGCAATAAGTAGGATACTGATTGAGTCGATAATAATATTTATGTTAGATAAGCTAACTACCTTAAAAATTTATTTTTACATACAAAAATTCATGCATTTAATGAGTTGCGTATCACATATAAAATTCATTGAAATAAAGCAATAATTAATGATTGATTCACCTTGTATACATATTTAACAACGATCTCTGATCTTCATTAAATGTAATTAGCTTCTGTTTCCATAGATCCGTGTATTGAACACTTTCGTTTGAAAGTAACAGAGGTAGTATCGATTTCTATCGACAATGTTCGAAATACATTACCGGGTCGATTTCTCGAACGCGTTTAACGAGGCGTGATTGATCGAGCATCGATCCGGGGCCGGTTACGTTTCCCATAAATCGTGGACAAGAAATTTAATTACGCGATGAATGCGCGACAATCTGAATACCGTGTATACCTTAGCGTTTTAATTTACTTTCATTTCAAGACATATAGTTGTACCATTGGAGTAAAATCCTCTTTAACTAGTAGATATCTGCTTAACTCAACCAGGGAGAAATCGTGAGGGTCATTAATCAACGTCGAATGTGAAAATTTCATATTACGTTGATGCATCTGTTTGCTGTTTTGCATATACGGGCGTTTTAATCTATGGCAAACATGTTTGATAATTTAATAAATCAGGGTTTCGACGATTCCTTGAAATATTTTATGTTCTGGGTTAGTTAGTATATAAAATATTTCGATTTCTCATTATGTGATTTATTTATAGGAGGTTGTTCACCTTCTCGCAAGTGTATGAACTGTGAATCCGTTATTAGAGGCTGTTTAAGATGTTATCTGTAGAAGATACAGTTGCCTGTATCTCATAATAAATTTAAACAGCATTTGAGAATGCTAAATAATCGCTGCCGGTGCCGCATTCAAAGCAGTTGGCTGTTCACTGATAGGCTAAGGATATTCAGTTTTTACGGCAAAACTAAATATTATATATAATGCCGTGTTTATGGGATGATCCTGTTTGGCAATAGGAAAGAAGCGTGTAATCTGTTGTATTAATCAAACTCTTAAATTCTTTCCTGTTTCCCTTTCTCCTTACTACCGGCGTAAGACAGCTAGATTAGAACTAAAGTGCTTATAATTAATGCTTGCACGCGTCTTCGGCAAACGCAAAAAAAGGGGCGCGGTTGCTGAGACAGTTTAATGCGTCAGCTGTGCATAAATTTTGTATATTCTCTTCCTTCTCCTTTTCTTGAATGCTTGAAAGGAAATTAAAGTACAATCATTTAATATTCCAGTAAGCACGAGCGACGAAGGGCGAAGTGTTGGTGGTCCATGTGGTACATTTTTTTATTCATTGATTCTTCCTTGTTCATTTTGTTTGAAGCTTAAAAGAAAATTAGAGTAGATTTGATGTTCTAGTATTATAGGTATAGGAGTGACTAAGAATCGGATCATCCTTGTGGCACATTTTTTAATTTATTTTTTCAACTCACGAAGCCATCGAGTCCATTGTCTCCAAACACAATAGCGTCGTGTATCATTGTTCCCTTTGCAGAGGATACGCGTTTCTTTTTCTTCGTCACGCCTTTTCCGCCCTTGTAATGAAGAGCCACGTGGATTACGAGTCCGTGTAATATTAATTTGATCAGAGGATTTCTCTCTTGAAATTTGTTCCCCTTTCACAGATTTTATTTTGTTAATCCTTATAAATACTAGTTTATATTTTCTATTAAATATTTCAAAAGATTATTAATCGAATGTTTCTCGTATTTTATCTGTTTTTACTAAAACAGATGCACAGGATTGTTTAATTTAACTCATAATTTAATTTAACTTAGAATTAGATTTTAGATTGAAATTTGTATAACATCAATTTAGAGAATGAAGTCTAGATTAAGAATTCTGTCAACCTTCGAAAGTAATATATATTTTATTTTTAATGCATTTTAATTTCTGTAACGAAGATTCGAAATCATAGTTGAAAATACAATTCTGATTGCTTAGAATATCTCAGTTTCTTAATCAATCATTTTAATTGGTTTGAAGTAACGATTTTTTACTTGTAAAGCGATTTGAGAATCCGGACCTGGACTTAATTATCATAATGAAAATACGAGTAATTTTTGCGCCGATGCCTCGCAAGCATCGCCTCGTCTCGAATTCGCAGAATTCACCTTCTCGTTTTTGTCTGCTCTATCGTATAGCATGTGCGTAATGTCCTTAACCGGTCGACATCCGGCGGAAACTTGTATTCCCAGGTTTATCTATCTGGCGGAGGTTCGAGTCCTGTCTAGTGATAAAACCTTCAACAAAATAAGAATTAATGCTAAAGAATTCGTGAATTTCGCGAGGCTAACAACCAGAAGAGAAAATGTATCAATTAATGTACGAATTATTGTAGCAATCGTTCTACGAAACGTTGTATCCAATGTTGTATTAAAAGCATTACAATAATTATTATTTATAAGAAGTATTACATTAATTTTTATTATAATATTTCCGTTTGAGAGATACGTGAGTTTAACTTCTCAAATTTCGTTGGAATGATAATGAAAGTGGTCTGTAAAAAATCCAGATCTAATCTGGATGATCTTGTTTCGAAAGAAATTAATGGCACCGGCGTATCTGACGTAATAATCGACGTGTATGAAAAGCATTGAAGTTAAAACGTTTTTATTTTTAATGCATTTTAATTTCTGTAACGAAGATTCGAAATCATAGTTGAAAATACAATTCTGATTGCTTAGAATATCTCAGTTTCTTAATCAATCATTTTAATTGGTTTGAAGTAACGATTTTTTACTTGTAAAGCGATTTGAGAATCCGGACCTGGACTTAATTATCATAATGAAAATACGAGTAATTTTTGCGCCGATGCCTCGCAAGCATCGCCTCGTCTCGAATTCGCAGAATTCACCTTCTCGTTTTTGTCTGCTCTATCGTATAGCATGTGCGTAATGTCCTTAACCGGTCGACATCCGGCGGAAACTTGTATTCCCAGGTTTATCTATCTGGCGGAGGTTCGAGTCCTGTCTAGTGATAAAACCTTCAACAAAATAAGAATTAATGCTAAAGAATTCGTGAATTTCGCGAGGCTAACAACCAGAAGAGAAAATGTATCAATTAATGTACGAATTATTGTAGCAATCGTTCTACGAAACGTTGTATCCAATGTTGTATTAAAAGCATTACAATAATTATTATTTAAAGGAAGTATTACATTAATTTTTATTATAATATTTCCGTTTGAGAGATACGTGAGTTTAACTTCTCAAATTTCGTTGGAATGATAATGAAAGTGGTCTGTAAAAAATCCAGATCTAATCTGGATGATCTTGTTTCGAAAGAAATTAATGGCACCGGCGTATCTGACGTAATAATCGACGTGTATGAAAAGCATTGAAGTTAAAACGTATTCCGCTAATGACAAGCCGTTTCCTTTTCTTTTGCAGATGCGTGGTTGGAATGGCAGAAAAGTTACGCGAGGCGGCCGCACGTGGCGACGTAGCGCGGGTTGCTCGTCTCCTCGACGAGGATATTAAACCATTGCCGGATGAGGTAAGCTCCTTCTTCCCCTTCCTTTCTTTTAATCCTTTTAAGGGTGGAATCTCATTAAAAGATAGGAAATCGTTAGCACAGCATCAAATTCTTCACATCTATTGTTTCATCATCGATGTTATGATTCGATAATCACTACATAAAACTACTTGGACACAGTTATTGCTCATAAATAATTTAGTAAAAATTCTAATAATAATTTTGGTATGAATTTCACTTATTCAAATGTTCATCCTTGGCACATAAAGTATTAATTTAGCGCAAACCTGAATTTTATTACATAAATTAATCAGCAGCGACTTCTTTTAATTACACTAGGCAAAGTCGTAAATCGATTAATGTTAATTAAGAGCAGGCTCGCGCGAGAATGGGCAATATTAATTACGCATTCGCATCCCGGTTATGACAGTCGGTCGGTGGGAATACAGATAAGCGTGCCCGGCGCGCATTTGTCAAAAGGTTGGCTCGCGGGGTAACGTTTGCCAGATTATCCGTGCATTCATTACAATTACTTTTCCCTTAATTGCGCCGATGAAATTAATCGTCTCACGATATTTTCGTGCCGCCGCCGGCGAACCCCGAAGCTTATTATTCAAACGACGCGCGTCCGAGGCGAATGCGTGGAATAATTGAAAGTTTGCAAGTCGGCGAAATCCGGCATTCGCTGAATTCTTACAAAATTTTCTTTAATTTTGTGCTTTATCGCACTTATGTAAATAGGCACGTAGAGTGATTTATTACTTGACTGCAGGAATTCTCGTAATTAAATTGCCGAGTTATTCAGTGATTACAAAAAATGAATTCTGATTTGAAATCTTTAGAAGATATATGAGAATTAATTTATCCAGTAAGTTTCATCAAATAAAAAATGCATATATCTTGCATTAATAGCAAATAATTGATTGTTTCAATTGTTATATTCATTCTGAATATTTCTATTTCATTTATTTTCTTTATACACGAATTGGGTAAGGTTCCTCAACGCGTTTTAACGAAAACGAGGGAATTAGTCGATTTCACGGCATCGTGCTGTTGGTTCAAAACGAAATTTATGTTGGCCGCACATCCTTCGGGTTGATTCATACTCGCAACTATTTATTATTTGATATATTACGCTTCCTGCATCTAGCAGTGCGCGGACAAGATATACTTCTTCATTAACGCGCGCAGTGGTTGCCACGGGCGCGTTCTATTACCCGGGGCAACGAGGCACAGGCCTTATAGGAAATTCGAACATGGGTTACTCGCCGCGTCAAAATGATATACGCCGCCATTTGTTAAATTTGCGTAACCAATGTCTTTAATATCGGACAGGAACGGGCGTATAATGCTACTAATGCCTCTTGCATTCAACTCGAATGTTAAAGATCGTCCAGTATTTAACAGAGATTAAGAGCGTAATCTCGATCGGACGACTGTGACATCTAAAAAATTCAGAAAGGCCAGCTACATCTCTGTTTAAAGAAATATAGCAATTCATAAAAACGTATTGAAAGCTTAACCCCTTGAACGACAATTTATTTTCAGTCAGCACTGCTCATCAGTCAGCAGCTGTCATTATCACTTTTGCATAAAATATCCCCCAATCTTTTAGCCATATCTGGTAATATTTCTACACGTTATATATTTATATTAGCATCAAACCTCAATAATTTCTGGCGAGTCCATCTCGTCATTGTCAGTTTGTTCAGGAAAGTTTATGACGAGCTGGACTCGTCATTTCCGTTCGAGGGGTTAAGCAAGATTTAGAATTAAGAACTGGTCGGGTTGTTCAATAGCAAAGATCCGTTGGCTCGCGTTAATTAACTACGTGTCGATCGTGGGAACTTATTCGACACAAGAATTATATTTTACAAGTACTAATTACGCTCCTAATTGGTCTCTTCCGATTACGCTTTGGGAAAATTAATTCGATGGTGAAATTCACACTTTCCCTTATCGTTTGTTACGTTCATTAAATTTCATGCACCCTCATTTTACTGTTAATTACAATTGTTAAACATCATTACATTTTCTGTACGTTTCATAAATTTTAATGAATAATTCGAAATTGTTGTTTGTTTAACAGAACGGCAGGACTCCTTTGATATTGGCTGCCGCAGCAGGCCACGTGGACGTCTGTGAAACTTTGCTCCTTCGAGAGGTCGACGTGAACACTGCAGACAACGTGAGTACATAAAAATACGATTCCATTAAATCAGGAATTCCGTTCCTTAGATTATTCTAAAGAAGGAATATTTGGATCTCTGAATGGTGAGATACGTGAACTGTAAATTCCGAAGCAAGATGCAATCCGGAATTGGGTAATAATTCACAGGGTAGGTGGGTTGTTCCGCGTGTCGGCCGCGCAGTATATCAATACGCCAAGTAATGAAGGGTATACAGATAATTACAGCTGTAACTGCCGGTTTATTTAGTTGGCAAGGCCAAGATGTTTCTTGTCTTTGAAATTACATGCAACCGGCATGAATTATGTCAATACCAAATTTAATGGTTGATTTACCGAGTTCTAACTTCCTCCAGTTAAGCTTCCAAGTGTCTATCATTGTTTATCTATTAAAAAGTTTGATAATAAATCATAGGAATAGTCACGTAATGAATCATATAATAAATCATATAGTAATACTCATAAAACTAATTATATAACGATTTGTTTTATGATTATTATTATATGATTTCATAGCAGATTTATTGATAAACAATCAGCAGTTAAGAGTGTATAAGCCCTGGTATCAAACGTGGTATCGAAGACAATGATTCATTGGTAAGATCGGGTAAGGAATCGTCTCGGTTATCGCTTAGGAAGATCCGGCTTCGGCTCGGCTACAATGCATCCATTGCCGCGTTGACTGACGGCCAATCTTCTCCGGCTGGAGAACACGTTTGGCTAGATCCTGCCAGCGAGGGGTATACCCTCGGGTGGTTGTATTTAGAATCGATGTACGCGCCGCTGGTGGCCGCGGAATATTCCTACTAAATTCCCGTGAATATCTTGTTGCCTCGGCACACGATGTGACACTGATCCCCGATTTTTATTTTCACGTATTTTATTCCACATCGTCGCTTTACGGGCGATTTCGTGTCACTGTTTATGGAAGGATTAATTAACGAACCGGGGGCGTGCATAATTTCATGTGAGAATCAAGACGTGTTGCATTTTTATTCTCCAAGTCTCTTGCACTGATCAACTGATTGAGTTTCATGTATTTGTGAATAAATTTTACCTTTGCACATTTACCTAATTATTTCTCTCTTTCATCCAAGATAAAAGTATTTACTTATATAGTATTATTTTTAAGGATAAAATGAACTCTTATCTAATTTCATTTTTGATATTGATATTTTGTATAAACGTGTGCAGTATATTGATCAAAATCTTATTTCGCGCAAAATGTGAAACTCTCCCAGTATGCAGTTCCATAGATTGTAGCCCGTTTTGTCCTTCCATTGTCTTCGCGACAACGGGACAACGGATAATATGGAAACTCCCGGTAACATCGACGGAAAGGTTAATTGGTATCGCGGTTAAACGGATCTTTCCGGCATCGATTCACGGCCCTGGCCGTTTTTGTTCATGGGACCATGCTGTATTCTGAACTTATGGTCTTTGTGCCCGAGTACACTTCGGTTCACAAGTTTCAGAAAAGAATTATTCGTTGCTTTTCCAAAGATCTGATAGAAAATCATATAATCATATTCATGTTTTGTTTTATGATTATTATTATATGATTTCATAGCAGATTTATTGATAAACAATCAGCAGTTAAGAGTGTATAAGCCCTGGTATCAAACGTGGTATCGAAGACAATGATTCATTGGTAAGATCGGGTAAGGAATCGTCTCGGTTATCGCTTAGGAAGATCCGGCTTCGGCTCGGCTACAATGCATCCATTGCCGCGTTGACTGACGGCCAATCTTCTCCGGCTGGAGAACACGTTTGGCTAGATCCTGCCAGCGAGGGGTATACCCTCGGGTGGTTGTATTTAGAATCGATGTACGCGCCGCTGGTGGCCGCGGAATATTCCTACTAAATTCCCGTGAATATCTTGTTGCCTCGGCACACGATGTGACACTGATCCCCGATTTTTATTTTCACGTATTTTATTCCACATCGTCGCTTTACGGGCGATTTCGTGTCACTGTTTATGGAAGGATTAATTAACGAACCGGGGGCGTGCATAATTTCATGTGAGAATCAAGACGTGTTGCATTTTTATTCTCCAAGTCTCTTGCACTGATCAACTGATTGAGTTTCATGTATTTGTGAATAAATTTTACCTTTGCACATTTACCTAATTATTTCTCTCTTTCATCCAAGATAAAAGTATTTACTTATATAGTATTATTTTTAAGGATAAAATGAACTCTTATCTAATTTCATTTTTGATATTGATATTTTGTATAAACGTGTGCAGTATATTGATCAAAATCTTATTTCGCGCAAAATGTGAAACTCTCCCAGTATGCAGTTCCATAGATTGTAGCCCGTTTTGTCCTTCCATTGTCTTCGCGACAACGGGACAACGGATAATATGGAAACTCCCGGTAACATCGACGGAAAGGTTAATTGGTATCGCGGTTAAACGGATCTTTCCGGCATCGATTCACGGCCCTGGCCGTTTTTGTTCATGGGACCATGCTGTATTCTGAACTTATGGTCTTTGTGCCCGAGTACACTTCGGTTCACAAGTTTCAGAAAACAATTATTCGTTGCTTTTCCAAAGATCTGATAGAAAATCATATAATCATATTCATGTAATTAAACATACAGCAAATTGAACAGTAAATCATATAAGAGATGACAACAATAATCATATAACAAATCATATAATCAGTCATGAATGTTTTTAATAAAATTTTGTTTTACGTGAAGATATTTTTGAAACATAGAAATTTGATATAAAAAGATCTGTTTTTATTTACTCAAATCAATTGAACATGTTAGGATATCTGATCGTATTAAAATTTATGAATGGGGGTGTACCTGGTGTCTGTATAAGGCAGTCCGGACAGCGGAACGTTGCTACGGTATCTGCAAATTGAAAGTTCGATATTTATTGGTGACCGGTCGAGGAAATGTACCGCGGCTCCCCAGTCTGTGCCCTTTTCGAATCGATTCCACGTGCGGCTCGCGAGTCGCCGCCGCAGCAGCGGTGCGTGCCTCCGCAGAAACTCGAGCGAGTTCTTTCGATTCGCGGAAAGATGAGCTCTGCGAGCTTTTCTTCTCGAGATTGATGTATACTTAGAGCCAGGAAGACACGCGACGAATAGAAGCTTCTATGAATGGACGCAGTCGTTTTTTTAGATTCGAGTTCAGAAAAATTATATATATTTGGTAAAAAATCTGTAGATTGTCAATTTATTTAATCGTATATAGAATCCACAGATTGATCAAATTTTATTTAATCATGCAGAATATCAAAAGATTGATAGAACTTTATACGATCATACAGAAGAATTAAAAGTTGGAAAAATTTAATTCAACAGTAATTATTTTTATTTGGAATATACATAGGGAGTGTAATATTTGATGAAGGGTTTCGTGGAAGAGAATTTAATGCTGAGAGTGGATAGTCGACTTTGCTACAATTTATCGGCGGGGGAATTATGAAATATTTAGAAAGATATCCGAAGATAGAGTACCGTGGCGAAAGAGTTTTGCAACTAATCGACATACACGCCGCGCGAACTGGTACGGGGATGCTTGAATGGCATTTACAACCATGAAATTTACGACGATTTACTGGCATTCTCCTCTTGCTTTTATTCGCGGCGCATAACTCCCTGGCTATCCCGGGCCGATACTCGCGTCACGTGGAGTTATTCTCGATCACTCGACAGGTCTTTCTTCTGTCTACAATCTACATTAAAAAAATTTAAGTAGAAAAAAGAAAATATGGATTAATAAAGATTTTAAGAAATTAAATTGATTTCCCTTCTGTTATTCAAATATCTTTTCTGTCTTTTAATGATCAAAAAATTATTGCAGTTTTAAATCTTTGTTCCTCGTATCAGCACGCTGAATCGTATCGTTACAAAAATATAATTCACCAATTTACTGCGAGCCTAATAGTATAATATAGTAGGAGAAACAAGACCTGAACAGGCGAGAAAGCTCTCGGGGGGCTCGTAACCTCGGTTAAAAAACGAGTCTAAAGCCGTGCGTCGTGTTCGCATTCATTTAGCCTCGTAACTCTTTCGAATATCCCGTTGGTGAATCGAAAATATCCTACCGCACCAAATCCGATAAATTTCGACTAGGCCAATCTCCAATGGAGATAAACTCGACTGTGTTTGTTCGTTCTTCAAGATTTCCATTGGCTTATTCTTTAATTCCCCTCAGAAAGATTTATTGAAGATTTATTCCTACAGATATTCACAAATATTTCACATTAAGAAAATCAGGTTTCTTTTTATATAAAAATTATTACTTAGTCTACAGACAAAATTTTTTCTATATAATAATATGTGTATACCAGATTATCGTATAGATTTTGGTATAACAAAATTTTTATAATATATCATTTATACGTATAATGATATAAAATTCCGGTGTATAATGTTTCTCGATATTAATAAATCTTTAAAAGTTGTATCTTAGAAAGGTCTAGGCGCGAGGAATTTTGCACACATTCTTCTATGGGGAAAGGTCTATAATCATACCTGGCCTGAAAATAGCTTTTTGAAGGGACCGTAGGCGGTCTTGGAGCGATTGCTCTTTTCTTTTCAACCAAGACTGAATCTTTTTTGGTGTTCTTATACTACAAAGCTGATTATCATATATCCTTGAGGGGATCTTCTAAATTTGTTATCTTGCATAGATTCTCTAAATGGTAGTTGGTAGAAAACTGTTTAGATTTAAAAATGCACGTATCTAAAATTGTTTGCAAGTGTGAAGACCAATGAATCTAAATGTTTGCTTAGAATAATTTCGTATTAGTATAAAGCCGCAATACGCGTAGTTCTTTAATTGAAAAATAGTTGATAGAAGTACACGATGAAACTTGAAGAGAAATGCGTAATTGAATGTTTTTATAGCTTTCGGATGTTTAATGGATTAGATTAGAAATTAGATACGTTGTAAATTTTTTGCGGCTCCTTATGGGACTCCGGTTGCACGTTAGAAAGCAATTTGTTAAATTTCCTCAGCCCGGGTTAATTCATCTT